CTTAGTACTGGTTGTTTCTCTCAGATCAGCGGATACTGAAGATAATGAAATTTTCAATGACTTACAGCACGATTGATGCTGCCGTTCCACAGAAATGTAAGCAGAAATGCACAAACGTAAGCTAGTACGGCCACAGATGAAGCTGCCGCGGATCTGTGTACCATTAGTAACATCAGTAGCACAAATGCAAAGCCTCATCACCGAAATACTATATTGATTCTGATGTTACTAAAGCCTGATCACCGTCGATGTGCATGTAGGATTAGTAGACACCTGTAAGAACAAGATTACCACACCACCCGTCCTTGTCTCGCCCGTCTGGTTGTGGGTTGTACTAATGTACTGTTCGGAGACACACGTGGTTTGTTCGCTCTTTGCTGTCAAAAGAGTGAGTAATGAGAGTTGGGGAACAGGTGATGCAACTGCCGGATGAGAAAGCACATATCATCAGTACAGGCCACTGCCATGGCCTTCTTCTCCCTCTTGCTCCTCCTCCTCCTGCTTCTCGCCGCCCATGGCGTGTCCCTTTTGAAAGTACTTCACAGACGATACAGCGCTGAACAACACTCGGATGATGGTTAATCCAGCCGTTGGTTGTTGTTTCAGCCTTGCCCATGGATGGCGTGATACATATGTCGTGCATGTATCGTCTGCTAAATGTCGTCTATATAGCAGTGCTCTGTCCCCTTCACGCGGAGCGACTTCCCACCGGGCCTCGTCTTTGGCGCCACCACCTCCGCATGCCAGGTGACTGAATATTGGTTTGTATTTATCAGCTACTCCCTGTCTCCCTCCGTCCTAGACTCCTAGTACAATATAAGAATGTTCTACAAGCCACTAGTGTTAAAAAAAACGTCTTACATTATGATATCGAGGGAGTAGAAGGGAGTAGCAGCGATCTCTTACAAAAGTCACTCTGTTTCTCCTGCCCTCAGTGCGCTGCTCTGGTTAATTTGCTCTGTTTTTTAATGCAGTACGAGGGCGCTGTTGCTGAGGATGGCAAGAGCTCAAGCATCTGATCTGGGACAACTTCACTCACGCTGGTAATCAACGAACTTGTCGGTTTCCGTCAGTTTTCAAAACAAAACAAAAATCTGTTCGCTTCTGACGGGTACTCTATGAGTTTATACACTCAAATTAGCCAATATTAGAGCAGGGTATACACAAATGAGAGAGTATATAATCAGTTGGTAAGCAACACGTCTTTCTTTCCCATTTCGCAAGGTAGCTAGGGCAAAGCCTTCCTTCCCTCTACCTCTGTCGGTGATATACCCCGCGGTGTAACCCGGCCGTAAAGTATAACCCGGCCGGACTTGGCGATTCACTAATGACCCACCCTAACTGGACGACACACTAAGTGGCCCGCCCAATCCTGGCGACTTATGGGTGACCTGGCAAGCGGATCAGAGGAGCGACAAGACCCGGGGGCCCAGGAGGCTCAAGGCCCAGAAGGCCGGCTTACGTTATGATAGGCCGGCTTAAGAGGAAAGGCATAAGGAGTATCTCCCTTATAAGGAATCAAGACCCGGACTTGTATCCGACTTGTAGTACAAGATAGGCTAGTCCTACTAGGACTCCACATGTAACCCGCCCCTCTAACTTATATAAGGAGGGGCAGGGCTCCCAAAGAGGAAAAAAGCAACAAGAAATAATATCTAGGGCTAGACACAAAGGGGGAGCCGGCTTACGACGACTCTTCTCATGAGCATAATGAGACATAGCCACAAACAACATGTAGGGTTGTTACCGGATGATGTTTCCCGGGGCCCGAAGCTGTCTAAATCCTTGTCTTGCGTGTTGTGTTACTCGTCCCGATCAATCTCTCTCAAGCTACCACATAGATGCATTGGCCTCGCGATTAAGTCTTGACACTAAGGACATCTGACGTGTTGATTCCACGACAACCTTCATTGTTGATCCCGTGGATTCGCCTCTCCTTTGCCTACTGCTTCGGTGGTCGGCGGGGGCAGAGGGATCTTGATGTCTCGCTTTCGGCTAGTAGATAGGTTATGGTTTTAGCCCTTGCAGGGCGACACTTGAACATATGGTGTCTCTTATTCTTCGAGTCGGTCATCGGGCTTTGATCTTTCTCAAGTTTGTTAGTCGAAACGGATTAGACGGAGCTTCGGTGTGGATTTCTGTCAGCTCCTCGGGACAACGAGGTTAGGGTTACTTGTCATGCATACACGGAGGCAAGATTTGTAGTCAGGTTCCCTAGATCGATTCAAGGGTTCAACGACGACGACTGTGGCTCCGAGCTGCTGGTCCTAGGGCCACATGCATAAAGGCTTCCTGGCTGTCATCGACATGGTCAGTCCAGCTCCGGTATGAGAGGGCCATTGAGGCGCGTCAGCGGCAAGGTGATCCAGGAATATTGATGCACTTTTTTTTATTATTATGTTTGATGAAGTGCTTTATATTTCTTGTAAACTTTTATAATAATAATAGATCCTAATCTATTTTTTGCGGCGAAAAAAGGGTTAGCTTCGGCTAAACTGGCCCTCCCCGCGACCACGTCGTCCCCGCGGGCGATCGGTCGCGCCTCGCCACTCCTCCCAGCGAGCGTTCCCCTTCTCCTCCTCCTCCCCGCCGCAGTCACCGGCGCGCGTCGCGGGCCTGGCCCGGGCGACGCTGGCGGCAGCGGCCCCTCGGCCCTTCCCCTCCCAGGGTTCTTCCGGCGCGGGACGGGGCGACTCCGGGCGGTGCACTCAGGCGGCGGCGGTCCTGCGCGGCGGCGGAGTTCCTGGCACGGGCGGGGGCGAACTCTGGGCGGCGGCGGCGTCGTTGACGACGGGGTAGCGCGGTGGCGCGGGCTGGCGGCGCTCGCCCGACCCAGATCTGGACCCTTCGGGTCCCATCTGGGCCGGGGCGGCCCGGCATTGGGCGTGGCATCTGCGGGGCTCTCGGGCGACGGTGGTGAGGTGTCCGGCTGGTGGCAGGCGGCGGCTTCGGCTGCCGGCGTGCAGCAGCGCCGTGGCTAGGGCTTTGCTGTCCCGCTATGGGCCCTGCCAGGCACGGGTGGCCTGGTTTGCCCTGGCTGCGGCGTCCGGTCGGCAATCCGCATCGGTGCGGGAGGCAGAGGTCTCCTGCGCGATGGCGGTGGAGGCGGTTCCCTCCCGTTCGGCTCTGGTGCTCCCGTCCGTGCCATCTAGGTGCATCTCGCCTCTGTTTGCTTGTCCTCGTGGTGGTGCTCGCAGCAAGACGGCGTGGATGGGTCCAAGACTGTGGTGGCACGTGCTGGCGGGTGGCAAGACGGTGGTTTGGCTCCATTCTAGTGGGTGCCGGGGCATGGGGGTGCGGGAGAAATCTCTGCCGGCTCTTCCGGCTCCGACGTGGTGACGCCGGTGGGTTCCGCCATTCCTTCCTGAAGGGCGTCGGTGCTACCCATCCCCCGTTTCCCTTCTGCGTGTCGGGGGAAACCCCAGGACTTGTCCGGACAGCAGCGTTATTGGCGTCGCATTCCTTCTTGGAGGGCTCTTACAAAATTCACTCTGTTTCTTCCGCCCCCAGTGCCCTGCTCTGGTTAATTTGATCTGTTATTTAATGCAGTAGGAGGGCGCTGTTGCGGAGGATGGCAAGAGCCCAAGCATCTGATCTGGGACAACTTCACTCACGCAGGTAATCAACGAACTTGTCGGTCTCCGTCAGTTTTCAAAACAAAACACAAATATGTTCGCTTCTGATGGGTACTTTGTGATTTTATACACTCAAATTAGCCAATATTAGAGCAGGGTATACACAAATGAGAGAGTATATAATCAGTTGGTAAGCAACATGTCTTTCTATCCATTTCGCAAGGTAGCTAGGGCAAAACCTTCCTTCCCTCTATCTCCATTGTTGATCCTGTGGATTCGCCTCTCCTCTGCCTACCGCTTCGGTGGTCGGCGGGGGCAGAGGGATCTTGATGTCTCGCTTTCGGCTAGTAGATAGGTTATGGTTTTAGCCCTTGCAGGGCGACACTTGAACATATGGTGTCTCTTATTCTTCGAGTCAGTCATCGGGCTTCGATCTTCCTCAAGTTCGTTCTTCGAAACGGATTAGACGGAGCTTCGGTGTGGATTTCTGTCAGCTCCTCGGGACAACGAGGTTAGGGTTACTTGCCATGCATACACGGAGGCAAGATTTGTAGTCAGGTTCCCTAGATTGATTCAAGGGTTCAACGACGACGATGACGACGACTGTGGCTCCGGGGCGTTGCTCCTAGAGCCACATGCATAAAGACTTTCCTGTCTGTCACCGATAAGGTTATTTCAACTTTTGTATCAGAGAGCCACTGAGGAGCGTCAACGGCAAGGTGATCCAGGAATATCAATGTATCTTTTGTTATTATATGTTTGAAGTGCTTTATACTTCTGTAAACTTTTATAATACTCCATATCCTAATGTTTTTTGGCAAAAATAATTAGTTGGTGGAGTTTGAAAGTAGAGTTGGCTTTGCCAACAACCAATCCGACAACTTGTTGACATAACGTGTCACGGTTTCTTGCGCACTAGACCACAAGTAGGATAGGATAGGAGCGTACCAACCGTATAATTTCCCGGGAATCTTTGGTTTCTTATAAACCAAAAAAGAAAAGAAAAGAAAAGAAGACAGGACAATAACCAAAGACTTGACTTCCCCCCGAGGTGCCTTCGGAGAAGAAACAAAACCACGGACCTGCAGCGGGTCAAGGTCTCCTCCTCCTCCTCCTCCTCCATTGCGACCAACAGGTGCACACACGCTCTTCCTTATCTTAGCTTAGATTCCGTCTCTGCTGGGAGGCCTCTGGCCGCCCGGGCTGCGCAGGCGCGGCGGAGGAGGCCGCACTTTGTGCTCCTGGATCTGGCAGCCGGACCTAGGTTGTCGCGTGGAAATGGCAAATCCAGTCCCCGTATCAGGGTGACATGCCATTCTGATCCGATTTCTGCTCCTGAGCATAAATAAATACTCATCCCCTCTTCTTCCATGCTGCAGAGTCAACCAACTATCTCCTGATGTGATTGTCAAGTTTCATCTTTGGATGAGAGCTGTGTCCCCCGTGCTTGTTGATGCCAAATCGCTAACCCGTGGTCAATCTTTCCTGTCAGTTGCGCACGCTGCTCGGCCCCCAACCTATTCTGCTTGACTGACTGAACAGTTGTTTTGTCACCAGGTAATGATTTTGATTGTGCTCAGTTTCCCTCAAAAAAGATAAAAAATTGATTTTGACTGAATATGCACCATGTCAGATTAGTTCATTCACAGCTTGCAAGTTTCCCAACACAACTAAAATCGCATGTTGAACAACCAACTACCTTCCCAGAAACCACATACCATGTAATTAGCACTCTCCTTGTATAATTATTAGTACCCTCTCCTTCGAAGAAGCACACTTCTAGCATTTTTCTGACCTGTATAACAACTGCAACTATTTTGTTCCATAATAAGCATTAGAGTTGCATAGTTGATACAACTATATTCAAGTCAAGAGTGTCAAGTCATGCAAACGTGCGTGTAGTACTATGTATTAACATGTCTTAAATCTTTCCTTCCTTCATGCTACGGTTTATCAGGCCCATGAGCAAAACTCTATATCTCTTTTCTTATCACGGACCCTGTTAGTACTTTTGTCTGATTATCTCAGTGTCAGTCTGTCAGACGACAAAAAGTGTTGATTATACATATTTATCTAGTACTGGTAGTACATTGACACCAGGTATCTTCTCCCATGATACATTAATAAAAAAAATTCTTAAATATCAACAGAGCTACTCGTTCCATCCATGCACGAAACCAGTGGAGTAATGTCAACAAACCTATAAATTTTCAGTTCGAAAACTAGTGGAAGTAAAACAACCATTGGAGAAAGTTTCTCTCTGTTCATACAAGCTAAGCTAACTCTCGACTTAATTTTCTTGGATGAAATTGGTTATTGCCCCATTTAACACATTGATCTATATTTATTTTGTTCAGGACAAATGGCGGAGGCGGTGCTCGTTGCTCTCGGAAAGATTGGGAATGTCTTAGCTGATGAAGCTACCAAGGCTTTGCTGGCCAAGCTGTCAGAAAAAGTTAGTAATCTGATTGATCTGGATGACAAGATTGAGGGAATAGCGAAGCAATTAAATACAATGAAGAACGTCATACAGCAGATAGGCACGCCGTACCTAGCCGACAAAGTCGTAAAGGGTTGGATTGGGGAGGTGAGGAAGTTGGCCTACCATGTTGAGGATGTGATGGACAAATACTCATATCACTCTCTTCATGTGGAAAAAGGGTTTCTGAAGAAGTGCCTCAAAGGATCACATTATGTCCGGGTTTTTAGTCAAATTGCCGATGAGGTAGTCAAGATAGAGAAGGAGATAAAGCAAGTTATCGGACTCAAGGAGCAATGGCTGCAACCATCCCAGCTTGTTCATGACCCGTGCACTGAGATGGAAAGACAACGGTCCCAAGATATCTTCCCTGAACTTGTGAAAGATGAAGATCTTATTGGAATTGAAGATAACAGGAGAATGATGACTGAATGGTTGTACTCGGATGAGATGGAGACTACGGTGATAACGGTGTCGGGTATGGGTGGGTTGGGAAAAACAACCCTCGTCACAAATGTGTATGAACGTGAAAAGATCAACTTCCAAACAAGTGCGTGGATGGTTGTGTCTCAGACCTACAGTTTGGATGCTCTGTTGAGGAAGTTACTCGAGAAGGTTACCGAACAACCATCATCACCTAACATTGACAGGATGGATGTGCATGACTTGAAGGAAGAAATAAAGCGAAAGCTTAAAGATAGGAAATGTTTAATTGTATTGGATGATGTCTGGAACAAGGAAGTGTACTCTCAAATGCGAGATGCATTCCAGAATTCTCATGCAAGTCGCATCATCATCACAACGCGGAACAATCATGTTGCTGCTGTTGCTCACTTGACACGCCGTATCGTTCTCAAGCCTTTGGGGAATGCTCACGCATTCGAACTCTTCTGCAGGAGGGTCTTTTATATCAAGAAGGACCATGAGTATGAGTGTCCCAATCATCTCATGAAAACTGCTAGGTCTATAGTTGATAGATGTCAGGGTCTGCCACTAGCAATTTTATCAATAGGTGGTGTTTTGTCTTCGAGGCCACAAACACAATACTCTTGGGAGCAGATATACAATCAACTCTCAACTGAGCTGTCGAAGAATGATCATCTCCGGGCAGTTTTAAATCTGAGCTACCATGACCTATCTGGAGACCTCAGAAACTGCCTTTTGTATTGCAGCCTTTTCCCGGAAGACTACCCGATGTCACGTGAGAGCCTTGTGAGGCTGTGGGTTGCAGAAGGCTTTGTGTGTAGCAAAGGAAATAGCACCCCGGAGGAGGTGGCCGAGGGAAACCTGACGGAACTGATATACCGCAATATGCTTGAAGTCAAGGAGACAGATGAACTGGGAAGGGTGAGCACCTGTACGATGCATGATATTGTGCGAGACCTGGCTCTTTGTGTTGCAAGCGAGGAGCAGTTTGTATGTGCAAATGATTATGCCACATTGATACATATGAATAAGGATGTTCGTCGTCTGTCATCATGCGGATGGAAAGGCAATACTGCACTGAAAATTAAGCTTCCCCGTCTTCGAACTCTAGTGTCAGTAGGAGCAATTTCATCCATGCCTGCCATGCCGTTCTCAGTTTCGTCAGAATCCAGCTACCTGACTGTCCTCGAGCTACAAGACTCTGAAATCACTGAAGTGCCGGCATGGATAGGTACACTCTTCAATTTACGTTACATTGGCTTACGCCGCACCAAGGTGAGGTCACTCCCAGACTCTGTTGAGAAACTATCGAACCTGCAAACTCTGGACATCAAGCAAACTAACATAGAGACCCTACCAAGAGGGATTGCTAAGATCAAGAATCTACGGCACCTCTTAGCTGATAGATATGCTGATGAGAAGCAGACGGAGTTTCGATACTTTGTCGGAATTCAAGCACCGAAAGAACTGCCCAACATTGAAGGGCTGCAGACTCTTGAGACCATCCAAGCCAACAAAGACTTGGCTGAGCAGCTGGAGAGAATGGTGCAATTGCGAACTCTGTGGATTGACAACATAAGTTCTGCTGAATGCGCAACTATTTTTGCTGCCCTGTCAAATATGCCGCTTCTTTCCAGTCTGCTTCTTGCTGGAAGAGATGAGAACGAGGCACTTTGTTTCGAGTCCCTCCAGCCAATGTCCACACATCTCCACAAGCTGATCATCAGAGGGAAATGGGCCAAGGGAACGCTGGAGTGCCCGATATTCCGCAGCCACGGAGAAAATCTCAAGTATCTAGCTCTAAGCTGGTGTCACCTTTGGGAAGACGAGGATCCACTAGGGATGCTTGCACCACACTTGCCAAACCTCACATATCTGCGGCTCAACAACATGCGCAGTGCAAACATTTTGGTTCTTTCTGCAGATTCCTTCCCTCACCTGAAGAGCCTTACACTGAAGCACATGCATAATGTCAACGAGCTAAAGATCATCGATGGCGCCCTTCCGAGCATCGAAGGTTTGTATGTCGTGTCATTGTCGAAGCTGGATAAGGTCCCTCAAGGCATTGAATCCCTTAGTTCCCTGAAGAAGCTCTGGCTGCTGGGCTTGCACGGGGGCTTCAAAGCTCAGTGGGACAAGAACGGAATGCAGCAGAAGATGGTGCATGTTCAGGAGCTTCGTGTCTGAATGTGGCACAGCGGTTCTTTCTGCAGTGGCTTTAATCATTCTGGTATGTTATAATTATTAAGACATCATTTGCGAGCCTTGTACTTCTATATCGTGATACGATTTCTGTTTTCAGGAGGCCCTGTATTTCAGTTTGATGCTGTAATACTGATTTCAGGAAACAGTTGTGTCGAACATGTGAGAAAACAATGTTGTGGAATTTGTTTACCTTGTTGTTAGTAGATACCGCCCGATCTATGTTTCTTCTGCATCCTGGTTGTCGTTCTCGAAGAGGCACATCCTCGACCGATACTGATTTCCGTGTCCAAGTGAAGCCCCTGCTCGAGTTGAGAGTCCGAGAGGCGGGATTTTGTAGGAGCTCAACTCAAAAACTGCTGTGTTTTATGTGAAGAAAATGTTTTTTTAGTAGCAGTTGTTTTAATTCCGGTTTAGGCCGCTGCCTGGAGTTTGTACAGCTTTACTGATCCTTCATAGGTTGTACCCTGTACATCAGTAGCACAAATGCCAAGCCTGATCACCGAGTCTGGAGTTAAGCTCTGGTCAGGGAAAAAAAATGCCCTTTAATTTCTTAGTCCTCTCAGGTTGACTGGGGAGCTGTTCTTTGACGTAATGCCCATGAAAAAGAGTTTCATAAATTTTATTCGCCATGGCAACACAAAAGAGCCGCTTCGGTGCATCCTCTAATCGAATCAACGGTGGAGAGTAAAACATACGCCTAGATATCTTAGGTACACTGCCGATGTGCATGTAGGATTATTAGACACTTGTAAGCACAAGATTATCTCACCACCCGTCCATGTGCTTCAACAGTCGGATTTGATGGACACACGTGGTTTGGTCACTCGTTGCTGTCAAAAAAGTAATGAGAGTTGGGGACCGTTTGAGCAGGCAGGATGAGCGATAAGCTAACCTGTCATGGCCACAAAGGCACATATCATCAGTACAGATACAGACAGGCCGCTGCCATGGCCTTCTTCTTCGTCTTGCTCCTCGCCGCCCATGGCGCGGCCCCTGCTCTTGGCTTCACGCGGAGCGACTTCCCGCCGGACTTCGTCTTCGGCGCCGCCACCTCCGCGTACCAGGTAACCGTGCATTTGTTTCCCTTGGTCAGCTGGTTTCTCTGTTAATTTGCTCTGTTTTTTTATGCAGTATGAGGGCGCCGTGGCTGAGGACGGCAGGAGCCCAAGCATCTGGGACACCTTCACTCACGTTGGTAATCAACGAACTTGTCGGTTTTGTGCAGGTGTTGATCAAATCTGTTTCCAAAACAAAACAAAATCTGCTTGCCTCTGAATGACAGGGAAAATGGCGGACAAAAGCACAGGGGACGTCGCTTCTGACGGGTACCACAAGTACAAGGTAATCACGGTGAAAGTTTACATGGCCGACATGGATGATAACCTGAACATTCTGTGGAAGGGAAAAAAAATGTCCGATTGTTGTTTGTTTCAGATTATACTAATCCTGGGCAGTATCATCCGACATTTCAGGATGATGTCAAGCTCATGGCTGACACTAACCTGGAGGCTTACAGATTCTCCATCTCCTGGCCAAGGCTTATTCCAAGTATAAAAGCTTTCCACAATATCTCTACTGCTGTATAAAATGAATTTGCACGGACAATAATAACTGATCTTTGGCTTGCAGATGGGAGGGGAGCTGTCAATCCAAAGGGGTTAGAGTACTACAACAACCTTATAAATGAGCTGGTGAAACATGGTAAGCTTATTTAGAGTAAAATAGCTTATAAATTCGAATATACTGACAAACTTTTTCATCTTTCAACAATATACTACTCCTTCTGTAAAGAAATATAGTGATCTAAACACTCTTATATTTCTTTACGGAGGGAGTACATGAGAAGCTGCGGAAATCTACCATAGTTTTCTAAAAAATATTCGTTCCTTTATTCTTCACTATCTGAACCACAATGTCCTTGCTGTTTAGGGATTCAAATCCATGTGATGCTTTACCATCTCGATTTCCCGCAAGTTTTGGATGATGAATATGGAGGATGGTTAAGCCCTAGAGTTGTGTAAGAACCTGTAATTTTTCCATTGTGGTGATGAAATTTCTCAAAATCTGAAATTGATCAACCTTTTTTGGAATTTAGATCATTGAGGTCGTCTATGCAAAATTATGTGCAGATAATTGAATGATCCCTACTTTCTCAGTTACATATTTCCTAACAGGTGGTACTGCAAAATGCAGGGAGGATTTCACGGCATTTGCAGATGTATGCTTTAGAGAGTTTGGAGACAGGGTTTCCTTCTGGACTACGATCAGCGAACCTAATGTCGTCCCAGCCGACTCTTACGGTAGTGGAAAATTTCCACCCGGGCGTTGCTCTGATCCTTTTGGGCGAACAAAATGTACCGCGGGGAACTCAACCGTGGAACCGTACATAGCAGCTCATAACATGATACTGGCACATGCATCTGTTACTAGACTTTACAGAGAAAAATATCGAGTGAGTTATCTTGTGCCAAATATTAACAACTCTTTTTTGCCGGCAGATTTAAGTTGTAATCTAAGATTAATTTTGAAACACTAGTATTGTCAAACCAATCCAGAAGAAAGTACTTGTTAACTGCATAATTTACTACGGAGTCTTCATGATTACAATTTTTTTGTATAATATTATATTTTCTATGTTTTAGAAACAATATTTGTATGCTAACAAAAATATTCTTGTGTGTAGGCCGTGCAAATGGGAGTTGTTGGCATAAATGTTTACTCCCATTGGACTTATCCTTTGACGAACTCTACTCTTGATTTAGCAGCAAACAAAAGATATCAGGACTTCCTGTTCGGTTTGTATGCTGTTTTGACTCTTACCTTTGCTTCTAGATTCTGAAATTGAACGTGTAACAAACATGCAGCTAACCAATCAATTTGTGATATTTCGTAGGATACTAGAACCCTTGGTGTTCGGAGATTACCCCCGAGTGATAAAGACGAATGCTGGTTCCCGCCTTCCATCCTTCACAAAACTACAATCTGAATTTGTCAAGGGTGCTATTGATTTCATAGGAATAAATCACTACTATTCTGTCTATGTGAGCGATCGTCCTCTAAAGAATGGTGTTCGCGACTATGCAGCAGACATGTCAGTTTACAAGAGAGGTAAGAAAATTTTATATTTGCATTGGCGTATTGCTCCATCATTGTTCATGAGTTTAGCGGCTAAAATTGGGAATTTGACTCATTTATCTAACACAACTTGTTAAGGCATATAGAAATGTTTCTTTTTTGCGATGGGTGATAGAAATGTGTTAACAGATGTACTGACCAAATAGTGTATCGAAGCTTTCGAAACATATACTAACAAGTTATTTGCTTCTTTGATGCAGCTTCTAGAACAGACCCGGCAGTAAGTGAGGTAAAGTTTTCCGATATTGACTGATAAATATGCTACTAGCTTCAGCTGTTTTGGACATAAAGTATAGGTGAATTAGGAATTCTGACTCATACAGTAAGCAAGCAATCTTAATTGTGCCCATTTTGCGAGCTGTGACAAAAAGATGCTACTACTTTTTATTTTGAATGCAGGATGTGCCAACAGCATTTCCAGATGACCCAAAAGGATTACAATTTGTGTTGCAGTACCTGGCAAAAGTCTATGGTGACCTGCCCATTTATGTCCAAGAGAATGGCAAGTCGATCTTGTTTCTGGTCACTACAATCTCCAATATTTTTATCAAGCTCTCATCTTAAATATCCGATTCAGTAGAATTTGATAAAATTATGTCGATGTGTTATGCTTCTAGTCCATTCTGTCTGATGAGACCTGTCTTCTACCACGTCCTTCCTCTCTACAGGTAAGGCATCTACCAACGACACTCTCGATGACACTGACAGGGTCAAATACTTGAAGAGCTACATAGGGAGCACACTGGCGGCATTAAGGTTAGTCATTCAAACAAACCCACGAGAAATGCAGTTGCAGGCACTGTAGAATTTTCAGAGCTCAGTTACCATGATGCGGTTTTCGCTCTGCAGAACCGGAGTCAATGTGAAAGGTTACTTTGCGTGGAACTTCATGGACATGTTCGAGTTCCTCGCAGGGTACAATACACGGTACGGCCTGTACCATGTCGACTTCGACGATGAGGCGCGGCCAAGGGAGGCCAGGCTCTCTGCTTGCTGGTACTCCAGCTTTCTGGAAAACAATGGCATCCATTTTCGGAGCGAGCTCGATAATAAAGGATCCCATGCTCAACAGTGAGTTATATAATCAGATAAATTGAGCTGTTCATTAATCTAGTCCCATGCATGGGGAAACACTGGATTCATCTGGGTGAAAGGAATTGGTGTAAGTAAATAATTTGCTTTTTCTATATGTATGATGGGAGTTAATTGCAGAAAACGACCAGATTTTCAGGATACACAGGTTCACAGATTTGATACGAAACCCCCCTAATTCTCAGCCTAATCATTTACAAAAAAAAAAAAAACTGGTTGGTGGCTTTGGCCCATTTGATGACGATTATGGCTTGTGGGTCCTGCAAAAGCCGACGTGGTGTAACGGCTCGCGTTAGATGGGGTTTGAACTAATACTAGAAGGGTCGTGCACGCTTTACTGCAAGTTGGTGTTGTTGGATTTTCAAAAACAAAAAAATCCTCTGTTTCAGAATATAAGGTGTATTAATTTTTTGAAAAGTCTTAAGTTTGATTAATTTTTCAGAGAAATATACCAATATACGTAATATCGAACCAGCATCATTAGATTAATTATGAAATGAATTTAGTATTGTGATGTCGATAGTTTTGGCTCTGAACTTGGTCAAACTTAAAAAAAAAATCACTTTTTAAAAACTAATACACCTTATATTTTGGAATGATGGAGTATTTGGTTTGGCGGGTGGGGGAGACGGTGAAGTGTGTTTTTTATTTATTTATAATGCGGTGTTATGGTGGGTCTTCATAGTGTGATTCAGTGTTATCTGCTAATCAATCCATATAGTATAGAAATTTTCCATGTGGGTGGCTGCCATCCCGTCCGCATGAGCTCGACGTTGAGTTCCCCTTCATGTACAAGATGAGTCTGTCTGAGTGGAAGCTGTCGATTCAGCCGTAGGATTTCGATGCAGCCCACCTAATCAAACTACCCTAAATTGCATCCACAAGCCAATCAGGACCTTAGAGTTCGGATGCAATTTGTATCAGGATCAGAGACAAATAAAAGGAACACACATGTAACTGAAATAAAGGTAAGATATATTGCAATCCGCCCTTCATTTATTACTTGTAAGAATCCACATTCACGAATATAAGTTAGAATTCATATGACATTTAAAACATAGCCCTGGATGCTGGGTACACACAATCAATTCTTTTCAAATAACTCTCCTGTCCAACATGGTGTGTATGGAAAAGAATCTCCTACACTTTGTAGACGTAACTCGCCCAAATCTTGAACATTTGAGCTACACAAATGATAAGCAACCACTCTTTTTCTTGATACCCACAAGAAGGCAATCTCTTTTTATGGATGGAACCCAAGGAAATAAATATCTCCATGCATATACTCACTTTCAGCATTATCTACGCCCTCGAGAACAGTAGCCTTGTCAAAGTCCCATTCAAGTTTATCTTCCACTAGTGGTTCTTCACCATCTCTATTGCAATTCCCTTCATGCAAGCTCCACGGCCGAGAGTTTTCAACACGAAAGATCCAAGAAAATTTTGCTACCACCGGCAAAAGGCTTATGTCAATCTTCACTCGCCACTTCATTTTACCACATACTTCGGTAAGCAACCAAACCCGAAGTCGGTATGACCTACAATTACGGACTAAAGCGCAATAAACCCCCTTCCTTGATTTCCCTAGATAAAGATCAGCACGCTTGGTTTTACTGCCTGTTGGCGATTTAATCACTTCATACTTTCCATGGGATAAGGTTATGCTGCAATTATCAAATGGAAAAGAGAACATATTAGGATGGGTAATACGATCGATGAGTTTCAGTAAAAAAAACACTAAAAAAGTAAAACCAAAATTAAGTGAGCATGCATGTTTAAGGTGGTGAATGGATACCGCATGATGGAGTCATCTTGACAATGCACATAAAGCGCTCCTTGCTAGTAGACGGTGTAGCGATGCTCTGGTTGCCAATCCGACTGCATGTCGGCAATGGTCCCAGCCGCCTCCCCTCTCCGGACCAACGAGCTCTCTCCCATTGCCATGTCCTTGAAGAGAAGACACGTATTGCATACGGAGAGGGCGGCCATGCCGATTCCTTGGTGAACATTGTCGTGCTCTGAAACATGCGAGGGACGTAAGGAAGGAGAAGCACCTCATAGTGCGGCGACACTGTGGGGTCAAAGGCAATGCACATGTCAACGCCTAAGTCCTCCATCCCGGTGCATGGGGAGGTGGAGGGGGCAGGCGCGCCCATTGCCGTGTCGCCGGATTAACGACGAGCTGATCCCAAAGCAAGAGTAGGCCGTTGCAGTGGTCCTTGATGGACAAATGGCCGAAAAAGTCCGTGTCCAAGTAGTCAAGCTTGGCGGCGATCTTGCGCTGTATCAACGGGCTCCCGAAGAATTTCGGGGGAGTCGGATTGAGCTGCTCCATGAAGAAGATCCCATGGAGCGAGAGCGGGAGGAGGTCTGCCCACAGCAGGCGGCGGTCGTCGATGACAGCGCGCCAGCTTTTGCAGACGCAACGGGACGCAGCGAGGCTGCGCGGCGCGAGGCGGCGGAGGACGCATGCCAGGATGTCGTCGGGTACTGGCAGCTGATGCGCCGCCACAGCAAGGGCCATGGAGAACGACTATTTTTTTCCTTGTAAAACAGGCAGAAACGGGCTGATGGAGGAGATGTGATCGATGGAGGGGTGGGATATTTAGTCTACAAAGACATGGGAATCCGACTCGGTCCTGAGATCCGATCCGAGTTCGTAGTCCTGGTAGTTATCGGAGTGCGGCTGCAGGCTGATGGTATCTCCGGATGCATGTGGGCGATTAAATTGCATCACAACTCCAATCTACCCGTTTTCTAGTTAGAATGCATTGCTTGCTTCCTGTTCAGTGTGTTGACACCACTACTGGAATTCTGGGCTACGCCAGGTGTAATACTCTTCGCCGAGTGCAAAACACGGACACTCGGCGTCACTCTCGACAAACCCACCTTCACGGCAAACTGCCATCTTTGCCGTCACTGCCTCACGGCAAAGAGGCAGCGCACGGCAAACCCTGCAGACGCCGAGAGCCGCTCACGGCAAAGAGTAGCCACGTGGCATTGCCCGCCCGCAACAGATGGCTCCGTCAGTTAGTGCGTACTTTGCCGAGCGTCACTCTCGGCAAAGCATAACATCCTATATTTTTTTGTGCGTGTGTTCTTTCTAACTGCCATGTGGTCCCAATGGTCACATTTATCATTAAATTTTTTAAATAACTTGCTAAATTTTTTTTAAAAAAATGACGAGAGTGAGGACAGTGTGGCCCACATGGGAGCTGACAATTTACATAGCTTTGCCGAGAGCTAGTCTCGGTAATGCTCTCCTTCTTTTCCGAGAGCTGCTCTCGGAAAAGTTGTGGCACAATAGTAGTGTCCTAGACGACCGTATTTCCGAGAGGTGCTCTCGGTAGTCTATCGTTTTCCGAGTGTTGCTCTCGGAAATATTTCCCATCCATTATGCTGTCAAGCTCTTTCTTTTCTGATCCCTGCAGATAAAAACAACTACAGTGCAATTTGATCATATATAGGCATAATTTGATCTAGTACACACATATATAGGCATAATTTGATCATATATAGGCATAATTTGATCTAGTCCACACATATATGCATAATTAGGGATAGTTCACATATTGTCACACACAAGTTGAATGTATTATCCTAGTAGACGTCACACACAAGTCGTAAATTCATACATATTGTCACTACTTTCAAAACACGTGCACATCACAATAGAAATACACTTGTTCATATATAGATCATCTTGAGGAGGAGAGGCTATCGGGTTAACATTCCGGAGGAGGAGGAGGGGCATCACTTGCACTGCTTCAAGATTGCATAAGAACCTATAAGAGTAGAGTCACGTGAGGGTGGTTCGTCCCTATGTAGTGAATCTTCTACTCTAGTTTATATAATGTTCTACCTGTAGTTGATCCTCAAGCACCTTCAACCTCTTGTTCTTGTCTTCCCGTTCCTTTTCTCTGGAGTCCTTCTCAGCCTGCCGCCTTTGCTCCTCTTCAACGGCCCGCTGCGCCATTAAATCCTGTAACATGGCACTAGGCTCATATAGGTTGGAACGGTGCTATTTCGAGGCATGGACATAAATAAAAGGTTAGGATGCTAACCTTGAGACGCGCTATCTCACGTGATGCGGCGGTTGGGCGACTCCGTATGGACGGAGTTGAGCTGGTGCTCGACGCACATATCTCATGCAGCTTGCGATGCCCGGAGGTGGCGATCGCCCCGTTGCAAAGGAGGTGGCGGCCATGGCCCTTCCCCTCGCCAGCAATGATGAGAAGCTCAGGGTCAAGGGGCTTGGACGTAGGTTTGGCTTTCTGCCCGTGCACCTCCTGAAAGACCTCTTTGAAGGTCCCCCACTTCTCCTCCGCCGACTCGCTGCAGAACTCGGCGTCATCCTTCCCCTTGTGGCCTTCTCTCCAGGCTTCCAGGATGTGGACCGGGCGACCCTCCTTCGCCTCCTGTAAAATTAACCATCAAGTTTAATGAACCAAGATGCACCGTGCAAAAAATTAACATCTTAATCCACATACCATATGTTGCTTGAGAGCGGTTAGGTTCCGGCTCCCCTGGACATGAGCTAGGCCTGTCATTTTGGCTCGATCGTTTCCCTTCTCCACATGTTGCGCCTGCCATGCTGGGTCACACCACATGTCAACCAGGGCCTCCCAACAATAGTCCTTCATCCAGGGTTCCTTCACCTAGTCAGACAAAATCGAATAATTGAGGAACAAGAGGGATGAATCAAAGTACTAGCAACCGATGTAGTCACTTACCACTGACAGGTATTCTTCTCGCGACATGTTGGTCTGGCAAGCAGTCTTCCTTGTCATCTTCTCTACCTTCTCATCGAGCTGCCGACACTGCATCACGGCTTTGTACCGCAGCGTGTGCTTGAGGTCAGAGAGTATCTTTTCAGCAGATTTCACGATGCCTTTGATCGCCTTCTGCTTCTCACCATCCACGCAAGCAAACGTTTCCTACAAGAAAGCATAAGGCATCTTCTCACCATCCACACAAGCAAGG